TAATTAAATAGTGTGATTTTGTATAACTATCAGAGATTAAAGCATTGGAATTTAGACAACAGTTACACAGTTCTCTAAAATGAAATCTGGAAGATACATATATGTGGAAACTAAATCTTAATATCTGTCCTAAAAGGTTGGGCTGAAGGACTTAAATGTACTGTAGTTAGAACTACGAGATTAGTTTGTATGCTATTCCAGAAGAACAGGAAAAAACCACAAATTAACATGGTTAAACAAAATCATTACAATTACTGATATTCATACTAGCAAGAACTAACTGATACCAATATTTTTGATAATTCTTTTTCTGGTGATCAAGGGTCTAGGCTTCCATGACACTGGTATCTGTTTCTTATAAAGACATTTCAATTAAAAAACTAAATAGAATGAACAGTTAGTGTAATTGATGTAAGGGCATCTTGCTGTTTGTGTAGCCAGATTAAGGGCTCGAGGTTCTTTGGTCCTGTGTTTGTAAGAAACAAAGCTATAGGCTGATATAAAAATATTTTGTCTTTTGCCTTCACCTGTCTTGTTTGGATCTATGATATTCTAAATGTACCTAAGTAATTAGTAGTCATAGTTTGACTGTTCTTCAGCAGTATCAGAAATCTGGGCTGCAGTCAGTCTACAGTCTGATTCCCGTGTTGGTGGTCTAAGGCCATTCTTCTGAAAAAGTTGGTGGATGCTGAGGTAAGCAGATATAGGCATTGCTGTGTTTTAGATACCTGATTTTAAGTCTAGTGCCCAGCTGAGGTAGAAATTAATGGCTGTGGGGCATTCTGGGCCTTGAGAAAAGTCGTTGAAAATTATCACAGATCAGGAAGATTTAGGAAGAATGGGGAATTATGGCTGGCCAATTTTTACTGGAGTAGCATAGCTGCAGTCTACTGTGTATTTCTAGTTCAGAGCAATGACTTGATCTAGGTTTAAAAATGTCATTTTAATGTACAGTAAGATAGTTTCTAGAGAAGTATGTTCCTCTATATAATCTTTTTCTCTTCATTAGGAATGAGAGAATGTCTAATGTACTCCAAGAATAAAAAATATTTGGATTTTTTTCTTATATTTAGTGTTCTTCATCTCTTCTTTATTAACTTCCAGTATCATTGTTATCTAGTATTTATGTGGCATGGGTGTTTGCGGGGTACTGCTTCTCTATATTGAATAGTCAAATGAAAGATGCCCATGAAGTCCTTCGGTTTGTAACTATGGAATAGAATAGAATCCCTTCTCCCCCCGCTTCTTCCCTCCCTTGGGGAGGAGATGACTGTAATGTTTAGTTCAGTGGTTAAAGAATTTATCTTACTACCCAACTTCAAAACTGTAACATTGTGGAAAATCAGGAAGCTGTAGATTTCATTTTATTGCTTTGGGCAGTTACACTACCAAACAAAATACTTTTGCATATATTTTAGTACCAGAGTATGATTAATGTGTGATGGTAAGATCAGTTCTACTGCCCAGACCCCTGCAGCATACATTTCAGATTTTGAAGACATATATCCTAAACAGTAATGTTTTATTTATTTTATTGTCTAATTAATTTTGTGATTTTAGAGCTTTAAATTGAAACAGTGTAGCAGAACACATGAAACCTAATTCCTAATGATAAAGAATAATGTAGACTCAAATATCTATATCAGCATAGCTACTAGTAAACAATCTGATGTTTTACATCCTATATGTTAATGGCCTATGATATTTTGTGCTGATTGTGTACTGGTCACAAATATGTTTTTCTTGTGCACAATTTTTACTTATCCTAATCTTTTATTTTATTCAAAAGTGTTTTAGAAAAAGAGCCATGTAAAAAAATAACAGAGCAAGCATACTTAAAAAATATATTGGATCAAAGATTATATTTGATATTTTTGCTGTCAAAAAAAAAAAGTGGAGAATGTGTTCTTGTATTTATCTCCTCTATTGAACTCCTCCTGTACCTTTAGTGCAGGCATAAAAGAAAACTACTCAGCTAGGCTGTTTAACTGTAGCATTTTCTTTTCATTTCCATAAGCATGTAGTAAGTTGTGGAAGAAAGAGGCTACCACACAGCTTGCTTTTATTTCCTTCTCTTCAAGATTTTGCATATCACAGGCACCAGATGTTTTCCTTTGCAGCTTTACCATGTTCTGCTTTTCAGTATGGCATTAGACAGAAACTGAAATGGGAAGTTGTGAGAGGGAAGGGTGATGAAAGAAGCAGTTAGCATTGGCATAAAATTGAACTTATTGCAGAGATTAAACATAAATTAATTTATCAGCATTAGATTGGAAACCATGTTATATTTTAACAGCACAAAGGCATATTATACCACCAAAATTTCTACCAACTACCACATTTATATATGAAGTTCTGGAAGTAATTTTTTCTAATATTCATTTTGGTTTTATGCTGATTAGGTCTGTGCTTACAATTATGTCTCATGGACCCATGAAAGAGAACTGATTTTCACTTAAAGTTGCACAGAGCATCTAACGTATCTTTGAATACTTGATTTAGAAAGACAAAGGGCATCACTCAAATTTTTGAGGAACTTTAGTAAAAAATAGGCAATAATTAAACCCTTTATATTCTTTAAGACCTATAAACAAGTTTGAACTAGAACATTCCATTTCTGTTTTGTTGGTTTTTTTGGGATTTTTTTAATTAATCTGGCAGTGTGACTTGGACCGAAATATCCCTGCTGTGTTTAGCACTGTCATGTTGCTTGCTTATAATTGGTTAGCTGTGGCAGTGTTGGGTTTTTCAGAAAATTAACCTTTCTTAAAATTCTTTGATAAAATACTGGTGATTTATGCCATACTCCCAGGCCTGTTGAGGTAGGTGTCATGTGGGCATGTTTCTTCTGACCATCCTCTAGTGTATTTTTTTGTTCTCAAATGAACTTAATCTGGGGATTTAAACATAATACCAGAAATCTACCAAGAGACAGCTGCAGTGTTGTACTGGTGATCTATTTGAGTTGGGAAAAAGGTAGTGTTGCTTAGGAGTCTTGTCATTTCGCTAAAGGTATGTCTAAAAGGGAGTGACCCTTAGGTGTACAGTTCATCAGAACTATATCTGGGTACTATAAAAGATTGAGAATATTTAAGGAAAATACAGACTAAGGTCTCGAAGTCTCTAGTGTTGCAAAATGCTGACTCCTGACTAGAGTTGGTTCAACCTGGAGAAGCTGAGCCGTTCATCTTCCAATCACTATTTTATGTTGTATAAAAATAATTGTACTAAAAATAAATAAATTTTAAAAGAATGGCTTTTTTTTTTTTTTTTTTCTGAAACTAGTCGATTTTCTGGTAACAATGTCTTGTGGCGGGGATTCTTTTAGCTTTATGGTTTGTACAGTCTTCATGAATTTTATTTCTAACATTAAAAACTGAGTACAAAAGACGAATGCTGTAAATAGGCAATCATTTAGGCTAAACTTTAATGCCTTTTAATGCCTTAACATGCTGATGCAAACACTTGAACACAACTATAGAGTAAATCTCTTCTTCAAATACAGGAATTCATGCATGTCTTTCGAAAAAAATGTGAGCTTGATGTAGATTCTTTTAAAAAGCAAAGATTTTTAATTGAATTGGCCATAACCACTTTTATTTTTCTAGGCAAGTTAAAGTTACTTTTTTTAGTAATAATAGATTAGCCTATCTGTTACATACTGCACCTGTAAACTTGTATATGAAGTGTCTTCTAGGAATTTTTAATATCATGGCAACATTTATTGATTAAAGATTTATTGTTAATTTTTCAGCGTAAAGAAGTAGTGAAAAAAATGGTAGGACAAAGAAAACAGTGATAGAAGTAAATATAAAGTGACCTAGTTTCTTTAGTGTAATAAAATCAGTGCAATAAATGTATAACTTTTTTTTTTCTTCCACTGGAAATGCTAATGTGGAGGCAACAGAGACATTTTCAGTGATCCTTTTGGGCATTGAATAATATTCTCTTCATTTGCCCAAATAGGATTAGTGAGTAGATCTCATTAGGAATTTGCACATGACTTTATTTTTGTATAGATAAAAGGGAGCAAATTCCTCAAAGTCAAAGAAAGTTGTTAAAATAATATCTAAGAATCCAAGCAGGTAGAAAGCATTACTGCAAGGATATTTTTTCAGTGCTTGCCAGGCAAAATTAATTTGCCTTCTTTCTTAAAAAAATGTATGCTAAGTATCAGAATCAGGAAAGCTTCTGTTAACTTAATGAATAAGATCCACAGCAAAAGATAATTAAACACTGAAACAATTTTAAAATGTATTTTTTTACTTGAGTACAGTCTTAACAGAAGCAAATATATAATGGTGGGAAAAATTGTTTCATTTTCATTAGAAGTTAATAATACATTTGTTGATAATCTTTTGTAGAAAGAAGGCTCATTATTAAAAAAGGATAGAAATTTGATGTTTTTATTATGTACAAAGCTATTTGTAACAACATCTGTTATTCTTCATGGCATATTTATGACCTGACCTTCTACCCCATCACATTTTAATCCTCAGAAATGTTGTATTTATAGTCCAGGTTTTCAAAATTAGAAGTTCACAACATACATTAGTCATCACCTTCACCTTCTGCTTCCTTTGAAATGAATGCTACTTAAAGCACCCATTAAAATTGCCCCTGAACTCACTGAGTGTGCAAGGATTGCTGGATAATCTACCTCTGTAACAACAACAATTTTTCTGCATAGTGCTTAGAATATATATATATATATATATGTGTGTGTGTGTGTGTGTGTGTATTTGTGAGCAGACGATAAAAAAGAAAAAATCTTGTAGGCCTGAATAATTGCTTTACCATTGTATAAGCTGATGGTATTAAAGCAATTTTGATATGCCAGCTTGAGAACAAGAGGAAGTTTTATTGTTTACATCTGATACTTGGAATACTTGTATCTGTTGGAGAATCAATGTCCCACGTCATAGTCACAAGTTAATTTATAGAGAAAAAGAAGTGACTGCAGTCATTAACACTAATGCACGTGTGTATACAATTCTTAGACATATGAAGGACCAAAACAAGAAGGTTGCCAATCTGAAGCACAATCAACAAATGGAGAAAAAGAAGAATGCACAGTTGCTAGAAGAAGTTCGTAGACGAGAGGACAATATGACTGACAACTCTCAGCATTTACAAGTGAGTTTGTTTTTCAAATGTGTTTTAAAATAATGAAAGTATATTTCTGTTTCACTGTGTGTGTCTCAGAATGTATAATGAATTTCTTCCCACAAAGAGTGGATGGCTCTCTCCTTTCTTATCAGAGGATGCACTACTGACTTCAGTTGCTTTCATGAAATATTGAATATTTAGGGTGAGAAAAAAACAACAGAATTTGAAGCCCTGTCCTCACAAGGACTGTATTTTACTTATTTAAAAGCAAGTAAGTCATAGCTTGTTGTGAGGAGAGTCAGAAAATAGAAGGATAATTATCCTTTCTGTATTCTGTTTCTGTGCTATTCACAGTATTATATCCACAAGCCATAGGGAGGGTATGTAGTGTGGTTAAGAATGTTTAGCATGTTGGAATATCAAATAGTAGTGTGCTGTGATTTTTTTTTTTTAAAGTAGGCAGATGTTTACATATCTGAGTGATTAGCAGCTCTTCTCATTAAATTCCGCGATCTGGGAGTGCAGTTCTGTATCAGCAGGGGTATCATCATCTGGTTGCATACTCAGATCACTTAATGAGTGTGATTTGATCTTATTAAATCTCTATTAGTAAGTAGTGGGTTAAAAGGGTGAGGGTAGATATCTAATAGGGTAATGGTGAATTTAGAATCTGCCTCAAAGATCATTTTTTCTCTTATGTACTTAGATGTAACATAGAGGAGCACTGGAGACAGCTATATCTGTCTCATTTGACAGATCTCTTGTAATTATTACTGCACAGTTACTACATCAGCAGCTTTTTTTCTTAGAGTTGGAAAGAAAAGGTTCTCCTATATCTCTCTCTTATTTAAGATAGACTTTGAGACTTATATTAGGAGAACTACAGTTTGTATATTATTGAGTTTGGGCATTGAGAGTTGAAAGATAATTAGCTGATCTGGTTTAAAGATACATTACATACTGGGGAATTTCTGTTAAAGACCACAAAACAAGTTTGATGCTTGACTTAAAAATTATTCTCTGAGGTCTGACCATGAAAAACTATGAAGAGTAGTACTGACTTCTGTCAACAGCATCAGTGTCTCCATACCCAGTGTTATGGGCAAGTCTAATTTGCAGTGCAAAATATCATTTTTTGCCTTGATCTGGTTAATATAACGGTTTTCTGGAAATGTCCTAATAGATGGAATTTGACCCTCACATGCTTCATATGGTACTGTATTTCTCATGTATTTGTGTATGCAAAATGGAGAAATTACACCACACTTCTCTTCAGGATTGTGTTGGTATGTTAGAATCAAGTTCAGGAAATTATACATTATTTATGCGTTGGTGTAGTGTTATGTATAGTTTATAACCTTGGTCATTACAAATTGATTGCATCACCATACATTCTACTGCATGTGATATAGTAATAAAACCTTGTGAAATGTTTGGTTTGACAATTTGATATATCAAGATTAAATTTCAGTGTTGAGCAGCTACTTGCAATTAACGTGGGTTCAGTAAAGACAATATATTAGAACTTTATTTTTTTCAGTGTTATTTTGGAAATCTATTAAAGTGGTATGATCACTAGAGAGTAGAAGCCATTCCTAGGGTCTTTGATATAACTGCTATAATTGGAGCTTTGAAGTCATGTGATGAGAATGTGTCTACCAAATGGAAGCAGCATGGCTGAATAGCCTGAATTTAGAAAGAAAAACTTTGTCTGGTGTATAGCTCTTCTGTGCCATCCACTTGCTATGAAGTATTTACACACTAAAAACAGTTTATGAAAACCAGTTAGCTAAGAACTGTTATTTCTCTGTTACTGTGCCTTAAAATGTTAATATTTTAATACTGTGTACTTCAACATACTGCTTTCAGTAATGTATGTGTGTATGTGTTGTGGCCCATCCTACACTTGCTAAACTACTGGGAAATTGAAAAAGAGAGGATCCCAGCTGCTTCTGCCTGTCAGTAGGTGCTTTGCATTCCCAACTCTTCCTCCAGTAGCTGCAAGATCAACAGGCAGAAGCGAGTATAGGTTGTTAGTGCTGCTGGCATGCTGGAACAGCTAATCCTGCCTTCTCTGGCCTAAGCAAAACAGGCGATCTGCTGCTCTCAACAGTTCACTGCCATAATTAGTTGTTATATTTTCTGTGTCTAAAATGTTTCCGCATTTCCTTGACTTATTACTTCCCATGCCTTTCTTAATGTCGACCACTGTGTTCTTGCAGGGCTGGATGTGTTCTCTCTCTGCAGTTTGCTGCTTAAGTGAATTAGGCTGGATGTCACTGCATTGATTACACAGGAGGTAAATCCACCTGAATGAAAATGGCTTGTTTAACTTTATGGATTGAGCCATAAAATACCTGGAGATGTGTAGCTACAAAGAGAAGTTTGACTCTACAGCACTACGATGTGTTTAAGTAAATCCTTAAGGAGACAAAGTGAATGGAGAAGGATAGAGAAAAGCCGACAAACTTGATGAATATCTGGCAGGTTTTCCTTCCGCAGCAAATTAAGATACAGAGTTACTTTGGTCTAGCAGGTACAGGAGATAGATATCATATCGCTGCTTCAAGGGACCCTTTCCAAAATAGGCTTGATAACATGTCCTTGTATGATTGCTTATTTCATAAAATTAAGGAAGATGGGGTAGTGGTAGTATCTGGGGATATTTTTTTCTGTTCTTGTGAAGTAAAGGAATTTATATTCTCTGTGGAAATTCCTTCGGGCTTGCTTTAGAAAATGAATCATTACAAAATGCGTTGTTCCAGTAAAACTCATGATACTACTTCTACATCCAATGGAAACCTGCCCCTGCTTCACACAGTGGGAGCATGAGGTTTCTCTGTCATTGCAAGATTCGAGGAGCTTTTAGTTGTTCTACATAAATGCTGTTGTGAGCCTTGCAGGTAGGTCGACATTGAGTAGTAGAGGTAACGTGACTGATTTGCATTTATTCTGCTGGAAGGAGAGTACTTTGATTTAAAGTTTTTCATTGGTATGGTTTATTTATTCTAGATGTGTAAGGCAGTTACAAATATTATGTAAGAGCATCAAGTCATGTTCTTATATGAATCTGGTAAGTAAGTGGCTGACTGGTTAAAAAGCTGAACAAACTCTAAAGCTCTAATCAATTAGCCTTGGTATAGAAGGGAAAATTTTTCGTAAGAGTTTAAAAAACCCCGTCATGCTCCATGGAGCTGTTTAAAGAGCAAGTATCTCTTAAAATGCAAGTTTTTCCTTTTAAAAAATTTGATCAAGAGCCCTAGTGGATGCAGTTATGATTTTGATTGGCCTTTATGGCTTGCCATTTCAGGGTGATTTTGATTTGAGGCTTTTGTACCTGGCCACATAAAACTATTTAATCTATTTGACATAAAATAAACATTTACTCCTGTAATATTTAGCCAGAAATGCCTGAGTGTAGGGATGGAACACACCTGCTTTCCACAGGTCTGAGTATGCGTCTACATTTGTGAGTGTTCTAGATTTGAACTTATTTATGCATGTGTCCAAAAGGATACACAAAATGCAGTATGTAATAGGTAAATTTATTTTCTTTCCTACCAACCCAAGGGTGTAATACATTCCCCAGGAAGCAAAATATAAACTGAAGTTCTTACTAGTGATGTGAACATATGCAGAATTCAAATTTGGATATAAGAGTTGACTAAACAAATAATCTGACAGAGTAGAATACTTGATCAATCTTGATATTAAATTTTAGTTTATAAATAATATATAGAATTAATAAAATGTAACAGTAGTGATCTAAGGATTTACGTGAGGCAGGATTTGTGGGGAAACACATGATGTGAGATATATGATATACTTTGAAAAATAAGTTTCTAGGAGTACTATGAATCTGCTAATTAAAAATAAAATTAATTGGCATTTCAATAAATATTGAATTAACAGCTTAGTAAACCATAGGGTTCTGACTACCTTTTCTTGTTAGTTTTATAATACCTTCCACTAGGTTTAGTAGAAGCACCCTATGTTTATAGACATTTATAACACATAATGCTTGTGTCTATAGTGTGCTTGTTACATTTCTGAATGATGTATGGAGCTGTTAGGGCAAACTATATCCTAAAATTCTCTGGCCTGATGTAATGATTGTATTTGTTGGCTAGCTGTGATAAGCTCAGCTGAGAATTGAAGAGCAATTAGACTAGTCCAATTACATTGACTTGAGCCAAGTCTCAATCCCTTTTGCAGAAGTACTGGAAAAGATTTAATAAGAAAACTAGTATACTTGTCCATGGACCATTCAGGGAGTCATCCAGGGCAAACTGAAACAATCTATTGAAGTGCCATCCATTTTGAACAGCTCAAGCAGGGGCTGAAGCTCTACCCATTGAGCTGTCCACTTGCTTTCTGGTAGGTCTGAAGAAGTTCAGAAGTCTGTAGTTTCTTTGAAGCTTCAATAGTATGTAATAGTTTCTGAGGCTTGTAGGATCATGTATATTCGTGACATTATTCGCTATCTTTTCAGATAAAAGCCTCAAAGCTGGTTCATATCCTAGCATCACCACTTACAGGGCAAGTTTGAGTCTCTGATAACCCCATTTTACAGTGCTGCAGGGCCACTGCTGTGATGGAGAGTGCCCTGGGATGCCTGGGGAGGGAATTCACTTTGGTCTCCCTTAGCTATCAGCAATAATTGTGAGTGATGCTTCAGGTGTGGTTTTAAGGGGTTATTTGGATCACTGTAAAATTGGAAACATCAGGGAGCCAGACTTCAGATTAATTCTTGGGAATGAAGAATAGTTGTGAGGTTTTCTGCTTTTTCCTTCCACAAATCAAGGGCAGACCTGTGCAAATCTTGCCAAATGTGATGGTCATATATTACATAAAGCATCACAGCAGGAGAGCTGGCCCTTGAACACTTTATTGTGAAATTTTTTGAGAATGGTGTATCTTACATGCCTTCATTTTTTCTCTCTTTTTTTGTCTGTCTTAAAGATAAGCCTTTTTGAGAAATGCTGAGATAAGAAATATACAGGTATTATGTCATAAAGTTGTGCATA